CTTGCAGAGTTCGCCTACAAAAACATCTATCATTCCAACATTGGCGCCCCGCCATTCGAGCTGTTGTATGGGCGGAAATGTCGCACCCCGGTCTGTTGGGGTGAGGTTGGTCACAGGGTGATGTTTCGGACGGAGGTGGTCTGGCAGACTACCGAGAAGATTCAGCAGGTTAGACAGCGGCTGCAGACCGCTCAGAGTCGGCAGAAGAGTTACGCTGACCGACGCTGATCCGAGTTAGAGTTTCAGGTTGGTGACATGGTACTCCTGAAGGTCTCGCCCTGGAAGGGCGTGATCCGCTTCAGGAAGAGAGGAAAATTGGGTCCCCGATATATTGGGCCGTTCAGGATCATTGCCAGGGTTGGCAAGGTGGCTTACAGACTAGAGCTGCCGGAGGAGCTTAGTCGGATCCACAATACTTTCCACGGTTCGCAGTTGTGAAAGTGCATTGTGGACCTGGAGGCGGTGGTGCCACTGGATGACATTCAGATTGATGAGCGCCTGAATTTTATTGAGAGGCCGATTGTCGTTTTGGAAAGGAAAGTGAAAGTCCTATGCAACAAGGAGGTTTCATTGGTAAAGATACAATGGGAGCATCGGAGGGGATCCGAGTGGACATGGGAGTCGGAGGCTGAGATGCGGGAGCATTACCCGGAGTTATTCGCTACAGCAGACTTCGAGGACGAAGTCTAAGTCAAGTGGGGGAGAATTGTAACATCCCAACCGTCAGGTATTATTAATTTTTCCATTTATACATCATGTCTAAGGTCTACTCGACGAGTTGACGCTTGACTCGTCGATTAGCAGCAGGCCAGGACACGTCAATTAATGAATGACTCGTCGAGTCGGCATGAGGGACTCGACGAGTAGGAGCTGGCAGTGGAAACCCTAATTTTCAGGGTTTTTGCACCCTATATATTGGACCATTAACGCCTCCCACTGTCCTCTATCACCCTCTTGAGATCCAGAAACCCTAATTGCTGTGAGTGAGAGCTTAGAGAGTGTTTTGGAGCTTTGGGGAGTGACTTTTGTGAAGGAAACTTGTAGATCAAGAGGCTAGCATCAAGATTCCGTGTGGATCCAGAGTCTACTTCAGTTTGGGCACGTTTTGGAGGTAACCAACTGTTACCTTAACCTATTTTTCTTCTAGAATCTATCATATGTGAAAACTAGGATTTTCTTTAGTTATTCATGAAGGGATGTTGGTATGAGAGCTGGATCTGAAGTTAAAACTTCAGATCTGAACCTCTTTTGAGTCCTAAGTCCATAAAGTTTCCAGCTTTTGCAAGGATGAGACTCTCCTGTGGTGTAAAGCTCCATTAGAAGCTTAGATTGGTCATTTAGAGCCTTTAGGGCCTTGCATGTGTGTAAAGTTTGCAACTTTACGTGTTAAACATGCCTTAGAAGCTTGAATCTGTAATCTGGAACCTTGGCATGGCTTAAAAAGTGTCTGCATGGATGAAGGTCTGCAAGGACTCGGCGAGTCATATGAAGATGGTCGTGAACTCGTCGAGTTGATGAACAAACTCGACGAGTCCGTTGAAGATTGCCTTGAACTCGGCGAGTCGGCTAGGGTTTCTCCGAATTCTTGGACACGTATGAACTCGGCGAGTTAAAGTGGAACTCGACGAGCCAATCAAGGATTTCACGACTTCTCGAGTTCAGGAAGGACTCGACGAGTCGGTGAACTGCACTCGACGAGTCGATTCAACATGGACTGTTGACTTTGACTGTGGACTTTGACTTTGACCAAGAGTTGACCAGTTAACTTCTGAGGGTATTCTGGTAATTTAGAGATTTATGAAAAAGGGTTTTATGGTAACTATAGGTGGTGGAGTTCGTGTTGGTGATCCGGGAGTTGAGCTTTCTAGTTTCAGATGACAGTTGCACGGTGAGTTATCCTCACTATACTAAGGGGTCTAAGGCACCAAGGCCGGCCCATTGGATATGTTATCCTAGCAGTGTTAGATGTTGAGTATGAGTTAGTGTTGCATGCTAGTAGTTATGCCAGTTAGGTAGACCTGTAGGACTACCTGTGATGTTATATGATTATTGCATGCTCAGTGATTATGTGGTATGTTATATGTTATGTGGATGGGTTGAGGTTGTACTGCTCCGTGCGGTAGCCAACAGACCTTAGGAGCATTCCAGTTACGGGCTAAAGGGAGACTCGTACTGTGGGCTCGGGAGCATTCCAGTTACGGGCTAAAGGGAGACTCGTACTGTGGGCTCGGGAGCATTCCAGTTACGGGCTAAAGGGAGACTTGTACTGTGGGCTTAGGGGTAATCCAGTCTGTAAAGCTGGGGACCCATTATATGTTGTTCAGTTTGTTATGATATGTTTATATGGACTGTATGTGTATCGGTATTTTGGGAGAACTCACTAAGCTCTCGGGCTTACAGTTTCAGTTTATTGTTTCAGGTACATCAGGGGATCGCGGCAAGGTAAAGGCGTGATCGTACAGCTCCTCATGTTTTGTCTATGTTTCTGGGAAAACTCTATATTATACATTTTGAAAACAAAGTTGTAATGATTTTTAATGGTTTGAAATGTTTTTAAAAGTTTAAATTGGTTTGAATTTTTGGGTGTTACATGATGAGTATGTACAAGCGAGGATTTGAGTCGAAGTTTATCCGTTCCTTTTACCCTGAGAGGGATAAAAGCGATATCTGTGGGCCCCTCGAGGATTTAGTGATGACACCCTAAAGTGCTTGGCCAAGCCTGGACTAAGTTGATGTGTTCAATTGTAGTCTCTTGTCAGTCGTTATAAATCGGAAATCGGGAAACAACAGATAGACGGAGAGAATGATTATAATCCATGTCTCATGTTTATACGATATCTAGAATGGAGGAATATATGATCCCTTATCTAAAGGACGCGTTACTGATAAGATCAGAGTTGACAGCGGCTTTTGAAAGCTACGATTGCTAATTGGATTATGAAGTCGTATTTGCAAAATAGTTATTAGACTTATCCAAGTGGGAGACTGTTGGATTAGGTGTCTAAGCCCATAACTATTTTGGTATGTACTTGACCCGATTATGAGCATTGTCCTTTTGGGTTTCCTTCACCATAGCAACTGATAGGATGAATTAAGGAGAAAGATGATTAATTATGATTTATTAATATATTATGTGAATAATATATTAAAAGAGAAATCATATTGTTTAATTAATATTGATCAAGAATTAATTTAGAATTAATTTTGTGGTCAAAGGAGATTAATTAAATAAAGGGGACTGATACTGTAATTATAAGATAGTTACAAAGTTGGGCTTAGGATCCATAAGGATGCAATGGACGAATTCTATATGAGAGTCCATATAGAAATCATCCAAGGGCCTTCTGGAAGGATCCATTGGGCTGCTTAAGGACTAAGCAATTGGGTTAGGGTTTCTAAGTTGATAACCCTAGAAGCCTAACTATAAAAGGAACCCTCTAGGCCACCAAATTCGTCCCTAACCTTCTAAGAGAGCCCTTGGACGAATTTTGTGCCTCCTCATCCCTCTCCTAAGTCATCTTGGTGGTAGTGGTGTTTGTGACTCCATTAGAGGTGCAACATTTGAGGCACTAAGCTTCCAAAGGTCAAGGAGTTCTTGTTATTGCTACATAACAATCAAGGTAATATTCCTAACCCTATTCATATGTTAATTTAGATTATAGTATGCTAGATCTAGGGTTTATTTCTTTGGTATTCAATGTTGTATGTTCAAATTAGAAAACCTAGATCAAAGCAATTAGGGTTGCATGAACACCATAAGAATGATGTTATGCTCATAACCATTTAGATGAAGGCTACAATTATACGGTAAAAACCGCCTACGGCTATTCTCGTTCAAAATTTCACTCATGAAAACCCTCTTTTGTTTCCTTATCACATTATGCCCTAGATTTCGGTTGTTATTTGTGCCAATTAAGTCGAAAAATCAGTAATGTCTTCGAAAGACAATCTAAACGAAATCGCGTCTTCATTAGTCGAAATGAAAGGTTAGAATACGATTCATTTTTCATTTTATTAATAATGCATATTTGTTTTTAACTAGTTAACTGTTGTTTTTTTTGTTGATGATGATGGTTTTTGTTTTGATTCAGTAGTTTTTTCGTCATTTTTAGTTGATTTTGATGATTTTTTCGTTTACTATTTAACTATTTTTATTATGTTTGTTTATGTTGGTTTTTATTATAAGTAGTTGTTTATTTTTTCACAAATAAGGATTTCAAAACAAAATATGTTCGAAAAATATTCAAAAATGAAAACAATCTCGAAGGCGGTAGAAGTGGTGGTATTTTGAAAGGTACAGTTCAAAAATTTGATGTTCAAAGAGGTTTATGTTATGTTTTTTGTCGCATCTTCTTTTATTTCTTTTTTTATTCATAACTAATGATGTTCATATTTGTTCATAACGTGAATATGAAGTTGTTTATCGCGAAGGTAAAGAAAAAATGTCAAAGAAAAGAAATGATAAAGGTATGTGTTGTAATCATTATTGATTTTGTGATTTTTTAAATGGAATGATATTTTATATTTTATCGTTGTAATCATTTAGTTTTATTTTTATTTATACTTCTAATCATAAATGATTACATACATTTTTTTATCTAGGAAACCAATGTGAATCTGAAGATGATTCTCCGCAATATAAAGAGAAAATGTCAAAGAAATAGTAATGATAAAGGTATGTTTTTATAATCATTAGTGATTGTGTAAGTTAAAATCATAGTTTATTAATCATATGCATTTTTTGTTCTGTATTAATAACTAATTATGTTAATTTTTTTGTAGTAAATGCTCCTGTTTATGAAAAGAAAAGTCTATATGTTTTAGAGAAAAAGTCCAAGATTAAAAATGACAAGGATATGTTTTTGCAATCATAAGTGATTATGTTTCTTCATTTGGAACTGACTATATGTATTTTGCTTTGTTTTTTACTAACACTATGTGTGTAAAAAAATTATAGTTAAGAAGGTAATATTACAAAGAAGGTGTCAATAGAAAGCTCAATGCATACAATATCATCTTCCAGAAAAGAAAAGGCCAAGGAAGCGGCGGAAACCCGATCAAAGAAATCCAAAAAAGAAGTTAATGAACAACCAAAAGAAAATCTGACAGTTAAGGGAAAGAAATTGGTTTTGGATAAGATCAAAACTATAAGTAAGATACATGAGCTATCTGATGAAGATGATTCTGATTTTAAGAGTCGTCCTGGATCTTCAAAGAAACCAAAGAGAGAAGCTAAAGTTGTGAATAAAGAGAAAAAAGTTGAGGCTGTGATAAAAGAATTTCCTTCATTGAAGAACAGATGCTCACTTGGGTCATCATTGGGTGTTATTCAGGGTTTAAGTAAAGAACATAAGGAGTGTGTTAGGGATATGGGATTTAGGAGTTTGTTACTGATAAAGATGATTGATGTACCTTTAAAGATTATTTATTATGTTCTTGATCATTTTAATTTTGAGAGTTCGAAGGTGGAGTTTGAGAATTGTCAAGTTAGTATTGATAGCAAATTTGTTCATGAAATGTTAGGATTACCATTTGGTGGTACATTACTTTCAAAAATGGATTCCATTTCCGAACATGATGAAGAGAGCTGTATGTTTGAGTGGAAGAAACGGTATGAAAATACCGATAAATTGTTATTGAATCACCTAAAGAATGAACTTGTTCGAACTAGTGCGGCGGATGATAACTTTAGAATAAGTTTTTTGGTTCTATTTATTAATACATTCTGTGAGTCTTCAAGCGTGAAAAAATGTAATCTTAGTCCATTGTTTCTAATCAGAAGAGACACTGATTTAAGTAGCATTGACTGGTGCAATTTAATTGTTGATTTTTTGGTAATGACAAAGAAGGTTTTACAACCCAGATAAAGAATCATCCTTCTTTTATGGACCAGCAGCATACCTTATGGTATGTGAACTAGTTTTTAATATTAAATCTTTCAGTTATAATATATATATATATATATATATATATATATATATATTGTTTATTTTTAATCATATATTATACTATATAATCACACATGATTATACAGTCTAATATATGATTAATGATATATTACAATGAATTTATATATAAATAATCATATATGATTATGCATTGTAATATATAATTAATCATATATGATTATACTTCTATTTATGATTAATGCTATGTTAGACTTTAGAAGTATATGTTTTTATAAATTTTACTTATATGATATATATATATATATATATATATATATATATATATATATATATATATATATATATATATATATATATATTGTAGTTGTTGTGTAACATCCCAATTTTCAGGTCCAAAAATTTCTTTTTAATTAACAAAAACATAAAAACATTCATAAGAAAATACTGTGAAAACACATAATCTCATAAAACAATGTATCATGTCTGAAAACCCAAGCCATAGAATAATAACATATTATAGTACAATCCCAGAAAACTCCATGCGGAAATCATATGTGTGTGTGTGATGCGATGCTACGCCGCTGGCTCCTTCCCCTTAGACGAAGAGGTACCTGAAACCAAAACAGAAACCGTAAGCACAAAACTTAGTGAGTTTCCCCCATCATACCACGTACCATACAAAATCATCAGTATCTCTCAATCGGTAATCATCATCGGTATCTTTCAACCGGTAACCAACATCGGTATCTTTCAACCGGTAATCGTCATCGGTATCTTTCAACCGGTAACCATCATCGGTATCTTTCAACCGGTAACTGTCATCGGTATCTTTCAACCGGTAACTGGGGACTATTCCACCCCTACCACTAGCATACAACAACAAGGTACAATCATACAGTCAGGCATATCCGGGTACTGACCTACCCCATGGCCCTAAGGGCCGCTGTCAGGGATCCTAATCCCTACTATACATGTAACATATCATGCAGATAATACACGTGACCAAAGCACATAACCAAACCAAGATAATTATCACAAAGACAATCATCTTACAAATACTCCTCTTTGGTGGGCCGACATTATGGCCTTAGACCCACCCCTACTGGAAGGTAACTCACCTCAATGTCGTGCAGTGTTTGAATTATCCTCGGCGCACAAGTCGACTCCTTTCGACTCCTCGATCCCTACACGACGACCTTCAAGTTAACACACAGCCAGTACAACCCTAAACAGGGTCAGTCCAAGTCTAGTCAAAGTCAACTTCAAGTTGACCTGACTCGCCGAGTTGGGCCGTCAACTCGCTGAGTCCCTCACCCTTTACTCATCCTTATCCATGACCCGACTCGTCGAGTTGGGCCGTCAACTCGACGAGTTCCTCCCTCACATGAACATCGCATGAAACTCATTCGACTCGCTGAGTTGATAAACAACTCGTCGAGTTCACCTTCATCTGATGAACAAGTTCTGTCCTCGACTCGCCGAGTTGATGAAGAACTCGTCGAGTTCATCTTCATCCTTAAGAAGATTGCCTTGGACTCGCCGAGTCTGTTCTAGCACTCGTCGAGTCCCATGAACTCCAGGTCTAAAATCACGTCCAATACATTGGTTAACTCTTCCTGTCCGATTACAACCCTTCTAACACTCAACTGGGTTCCTTTGACTCTCAACAGATATGGGGCGCAAAGCCTCGGACTCGTCGAGTCCAAGAACGGACTCGCCGAGTCAGTCACGTCCACATTCTATATCCTTGAATTCTGATGTACAACCTTTGATCAAAAGATAGATCCAAGCTTCTATAATCGATCTAGCACGTAAAGTTACAAACTTTATGTGCTTGCATGGGACTTTGAGCTCAAAAAGACATAAAACAAGCTCTTAAGATGCATGGGGCCTTTCATGGGTGCAAAAGCAGTCCCCAACTGCCTTGTGCCTCCTTTAATGACGTGATTCCGAAGCTCTAACCCCCAACCATGTTTGCAATCATGGTTGGCCATCAAAAGTGGCTTATAAAAGCCCTAAATCTCCCCAAAAAGGGATCTAACAAATGAAAGAGCAAGGTTACAGCTTTTTACCTTCAATGAACTGTAGAAGGTGCACAAACTCGGGTTCCCTTGGTCTTTACTTGCTTCCTCAAGCCTTTCTCCTTCCTTCTTAAGACCACAAGCACCAAAATCCACCAACAAGGCTTAGATTGCTTCAATAACGGCTAGGGTTTCAATGAGAGGTGTTCTGGGAGCATAAGGGACGTTGTGGCCGACATAACATTGTTTAAATAGGGTGAAAACCCTCGGATTAGGGTTTTTGTCCAGTCAGAGTCTACTCGTCGAGTCCGGGACCCAACTCGACGAGTTCATCACTTAAATCCCGCACCTTATCCCGCTTCTACTCGGCGAGTTGGTCATTCAACTCGCCGAGTCCAAGGCCAAAAATGCAAAAATACTTAAATAAAAATACATACCAAGAACCAGTTGCTACAAAACTCCCCCACTTATTTTAGACTTCGTCCTCGAAGTCTGCTGCTCGATCCTGGAACAACTCTGGGTAATGCTCCATCATCTCATCCACCGGCTCCCAAGTCCATTACGAGCCCTTCCGGTGCTGCCATTGCACCTTTACCAGCTCAACCCTCTTGTTCCTCAGATCCTTCGACTTCCGGTCAAGGATTGCTACAGGTCGCTCAATGTAATTCAGGCTGCCATCGACCTGAATATCCTCTAAGGGTACTACTGCTGAGTCGTCCACCAGGCACTTCCGCAGCTGAGAGACGTGGAAAGTGTTGTGGATCTGACTGAGTTCGGCTGGCAGATCCAACCTATAAGCCACCTTGCCCACCCGAGCTATAACCCTGAAGGGTCCAATATACCTAGGACCCAACTTACCCCGCTTCCTGAATCGGATGACGCCCTTCCATGGCGACACCTTCAGGAGAACCATATCCCCGACCTGAAACTCCATGTCCGATTGGCGCTTGTCGGCATAACTTTTCTGCCGACTCCGAGCGGTCTGAAGCCTGCTCCTGACCTGCTGGATCCGTTCGGTCGTCTTGAGCACTACATCGGTGCTCCCCATGGCCCTCTGGCCAACCTCGCCCCAGCATATCGGGGTCCTGCACTTCCTCCCGTACAACATCTCGAAGGGAGGTCGATCGATACTCGCATGATAGCTATTATTATACGAGAACTCCGCCAACGGAAGGTAGGTATCCCAGCTACCTCCGAAGTCTAAAACACATGCCCGCAACATATCCTCTAGCGTCTGGATGGTCCGTTCGCTCTGACCATCCGTCTGCGGGTGAAAAGCAGTGCTGAAATGCAGACGAGTACCCAGCTCGCCATGAAACTTCTTCCAAAACCTGGAAGTGAACCGTACATCTGATGTGTAAAATTCACTATAGTTTTAAATTTATAGGGTTGAAATTACCGATACTAGAATTTACTACACGACTTAGTCAAGTGTACCTAATTGAGTTGTAATATAGCAATGGTAAGAACGGATGTCGAACACTTGGGGAAACGAGTATGATTTACGTTTAGACTATTTGTCGCTAATTAACTTAAAAGATAAGTAACTTGGGAGAATTTTTAGTAACGAGACAAATAATGAGAATTTTAACGATTAAAGTGTAAAAATAAATATAGAACAAGAATTGGTTTTTAAGAATCAAGAATGATAAGGATGCTTTCACTTAGATTTAATTCCACCTTTTAATAATGAATGATTTATATTAAGTGCAATGGATATTATTAGTTATTTACCGATTTCTAAAATTGGTTAAAAATCATGATCTAATTTTTACCGTTTTGATAATAAAATTAATTAAAAACAATTGTCATGCAATTAACAATTTTATTAACAATATTTAATTTGTATCATGCAAACATTTGATCAAACTATTAATTTTAGTGGTCGTAAAACTAATAGGAAATTGTAAGTTGGTCGTACGATATAAAATATACATGTTAAATTTTTAGTATTTTATTTTGCCCAATTCCTAGAATATTGTCCTTTACTAGTCATAAATATCAATGGTTATGAAAAATTTATGATTCAAGATAATATAATTAAAGTGATCTTTTAAAAATATTAACTTAGTTATGGGAAAATTAATTACAAAAACTTAACATATACAAACAAATGATCAAATATGCATGATAAAATAAATAACAATTAATATCCGAATAATATAAATCAAATCATATTTTCAAGGTTTCATTATCCAAGTGAAAGCAAAGAGAATTTAGCTCATAATTAAGGTTACAACATACATAGAAAACATATTGAGAATGTTAAACATGTTGATAAAACAAACCCGATGTAGTCCCTAATGCCACTGCAATCTTCAATTCCTTAGCTTTTTGACTCTTGAATCCCCAATTGTGGTTTAAAGGTTGGATGGAATTTGGTATAGTGGTGATATGGTAAGAAATTGTATGGAGAAATTTGTGTATCAAAGTGTATGATTTAATCTCTTCTCTTTTCTTTTCTTCTTTGTGGTGAAAAATGGTGATATTTATAGTAAAAATTGTGAGAATTAAATACCAAAAAGAAATAAATTGAGATTGGATCTAAGATCCAATCTAAATCTTATGAAAAAGAATTCAAAAGAAATAAAAAGATGGGAATAAAAGGTTGGAAAGTTTAAAGGTGGTGAATTATTGAGTATTGGTTGGAAAGAAATGGGTTTAAAATAGGAAAAAGTGGAGAAAAAATGGTTAAAATGGAATGGAATCGGAATTGGCAAATCTGGAGCATAAAACGACGTCGTTTAGAGCTGTGAATAGTACCGGATCGGACTTGGGTCGTCAACCGGGTTTTCCGGATCTGGGTCGTGAGAATGGATCAGGGCTTCGGGTTTGGGCTCCTGGTTTGGGCTCCGGGTTTTGGGCTAAATCCGAATTTTTTTTGTTTCTTTTTTTTTGTTTTTTTTCTTTTTTTTGCAAATTAAATTAAATTAAATT